TAGGAAAAAATCTTCTTTTTGAAACCAAACTTTTATGAGTGATGCAAACAGCAACCTTTATACAGAGCGTGCACGAGGAGAAATTGGCTTGTGCACGCTCTCGCACGCGTTTAATAGATGTTCCCTCTTGGGAACGGGTACAGGGTTGTGCATGTACATATATTAAGTGGAGAGGGCGGGTCTTTTCAAAAATTCACTAAAATCCTGCACAATACCTTTAATTGACCTTATTCTGTCAGATAACCAGAAGATAATATTAGTCATGAAGTTTACTATAACAGGGTCAGTGTAAAAAAAAAATCTGTCTGTATAAAGTTGGTGTTTAATACATGATCTGAAGTTTTTTTTTTTTTCTGCTTTGTTACATCATGCAGAGACTCCTTGCGTAGGAGGGTACCTGGCTCCATGGTAACAAGGAAACCCCAGCTGTCATGTCCTCCATTTCAACGTCTGCTGCTTGTAGTGGCGGTGAGGCTGCAGCCAGGAGCTTTGAGCAGGCCCTGCTGGCTTCAGAGCGCTACGCCAGCCTCATCCTGGCTCAGATGAACAAGATGCGTCTTCGTTCCGACTTCTGCGACGTCGGGCTCAAAGTCGGCGGGCAGGTCTTCAAGGTCCACCGCCTGGTTCTCGCCGCCAGCAGCCCCTACTTCTCTGCCTTATTCTCAGGTGGGATGAGGGAGGCGGATAAAGACGAGGTGCAGATCATCGGAGTGGAAACGGATATCTTTGAAATTCTGCTGGACTTTATATACACAGGTCGGGCGTCATGCTTTCCAGGGCTTGTTGTCATCGCATGATACCATCTAACACGACTGTGCCTTCTGCTTTAGGAGCAATCAGCGTTAACGTTGAGAACGTTCAGGAGCTGATGGTGGCAGCGGACATGCTGCAGCTGACCGAGGTGGTGTCAATATGCGGGGAGTTTCTCAAGAGCCACATGGATCCTTTTAACTGCGTGGGGATCTTTCAGTTTTTGGAGCAGATCGTCTGCGTGGAAATGTTGGAATTCACTGAGAATTACATCCACGTTCATTTCCTGGAGGTGTGTGTCTGATAAATGCATCCGAAACTCATTAAACTGTTCCACACTTTGGCACATCAAAACTCAAAGCTTTGCTATGTATGTAATAAACCAACTGTTATAAAACTTAAAAACAATGCAGTCGACCAATATGAAATATATATTTTTAAGTTTTCTGTACATATTCTCTGTTTTTCCTGCTCTCCCTTTAGGTGTGTGTCACAGATGAGTTCAGAGGCCTGTCTAAGGATCAGTTAGTGAGGCTTCTGAGGAGTGAAGAGCTCAGGATTGAGGATGAGTACCAAGTCTTCACAGCAGCCATGGACTGGGTTGTCCACGATGTGGCAAAGAGGAAAAAACACGTTGTGGAAGTGTTGGAGGCCGTCCGCTTCCCTCTGCTCTCCCCTCAGCGGCTCTTCAAGTACATAGAAGGTGAGGGAAAACGTTTCATTGGTCTTTATCGTGGTTCTTTGGCTACGTTCACACTGCAGGCCTTGATGCTCAATTCCAATTTTATTGTGAAATCTGATTTTTCTTTTGCTTTGCTGTTCACATTTCCAAATATATGCGACTTGTATGTGATCTCCTGTGTGAACTGCAGTCATACAACCTAAGCAGGGTTCCCGCGGGTCC